CCAAGTAGACCCGCCCCGCTGATCCTGGCAGGGCGGCGCACACGCGGCACAAGGGCTTTCCAGTCCCTGCTCATGGGGCTGAGTGGATTGTGAAACGGCGACCATGAAAGGTACTGGGAAAGAGCATGTAGTTTATAAGCATGTAGTTTATATTCTGCAGTTTTACAGTGGAGTCCTTGCAAAGAACTTGGAAGTTCGGAAATCACGCAGAAGTGAAAAACGACTACAAACTAATCTTTACACCTTTCACGAAGTCCACTGGATTCTACCCTGGTGGCTCAGACGGTAAAGCGTCTGCTTGCAGTGTGGGAGACCCGGGTTCGATCCCTGAGTCGGGAAGATGCCCTGGAGAAGGAAACGACAATGCATTCCAGTATCCTTGCCTGGAGAATCCCATGAACAGAGGAGCCTGATAGGCTATAGTCCACGGAGTCACAGACAGTTGGGTACGACTGAGCGACTTACCTCACTCAAATGATAAGTATCTGGAGAACATTTGTGCAAATGTGTATGCCTAATTAAAAATAGCGGCCAACTTCTCTTGATGTTGAAGCAAAGTATTTGGAAAACAACTAAGAGTAACTAGGTTGGTAAATTCTAGCACAACTGCACAGTGCAATCTTACCAATTTGTGCTTTAGTTATTGGTATTTATTATATGAAGTAGATCTATAGGTACTGCAAAGAAGTTGACAATGAAACTGTTCAATGGCAAGTTGTAGAACTTCCAATGGCGTTTTCAAGATATAACATGCGTTATCTTCTGAAGAAACTTAGGTGGAAAGGCACAGACACTAGAATAGCTAAAGGAATTTTGAAAAGAAAAAGAAAGCAAAAAACCGCCTTCTCTGTGACTTCGTCTCTGGAGTCAGAAACCTGAACTGTCTGAAAAGATGAAGATGGGCCACTCCTCCTGCTACAGCCTCCAGGCTGCCTGTAGGCATCTCAGCCCCTAAATGTCTGTTTCATGTAGATCCAGAGCCAGATGTGTGGTGTGTGGGGGTAACCTCCACTCTGCAGACCTGGACGCCCTGATCTCTCCTTTACATGGGAGTCGCCACCCCCAGCCACATGAATTGATAAGATTACCATGTGTGGTTTTACTAGAAATTACCTACCTAGTTAATTTTAATGGTTATTTTCCAAATACTATGCTTTTATATTAAGCAATGCGGGTACTCATACCAATCATCCCCATCAAGGCCTGCTAGCCCCAGCTTGCATGGGTGCAACTCTTCTCTCCATGAGCCTTGAGCTGTTTTCCTGAGGAAAGGACTTGCCCCTCCCAGAAAATGCAGTATGTGGGTGCAATCTCAAAAATGACAGAATGATCTGTTTGTCTCCAAGGCAAAGCATTCAGTATCACAGTAATCTAAGTCTATGCCCCTACCACTAATGCAAAAGGAGCTGAAATTGAATGGTTCTGTGAAGACTACAAGACTTTCTAGACCTTCTAACACCCCAAAAATGATGTCCTTTTCATCACAGGGGACTGGAATGCAAAAGTAGGAAGATGAGATACACGGAGTAACAAGTAAGTTTGGGCCTTGGAGCACAAAATGAAGCAGGGCAAAGGCTAACAGTTTTGCCAAGAGAGGTGGCAAGAAGAGTAATAAGTGGGAGACTTCTCACTGTTCCTCCCCCAAACCTGAATTAGACGATACTTGTGTGAGCTGTGGCTTATCCACTTAGACATGAGGTTGATGATAGGAAATACACCAGCTGGTCCTGAATGACACCAGCATTCCCATCCCAGCTCCACACTTTCCTGTCTGTTGGTGGTGAACAGGCCACGTAATCATTCTATCCTCACTCCTGCTAAAGCAGAGATGGCAATGTTATCACATCACATCACTATGTGGACAATTGCATGAGATAATGAATGTATCAGCGCATATATGTAGTCACATAGCAATCCTAGTAATCCCAATACATGATTTGCGGTTATTATGTCAATTGTCTAAATGGGTCCCACAGTGGTCCCTCATTGTGTTGGATTCTGGTCCTGCTTTGGATCCTTTTCATCTCTCACAGCCTGCTTCTATTTCTCCATGCTCCTCAATCCACACAGACCCAATGACTTCCAAATGAAATTGCACCTTCCCTGGATCGGGGGTCGGGGTTCAGGGGTCTGGGGGGCAGGAAGCAGCTTTCTTCTGTGCTCACCCCCACTGTCCTTCAATTCAAGATCTAACTTTCAGAATACTTTGTAATATTTCAATACTTTGACATTTTTTGAGCCTTTTTGTGGGCCAGAATATCTTTGTAAATTATTCATGTTTAGTAAGAAAAACATGTATTTTACTCAGCAGTTCTTAGATTTATTTACAAATGTTCACTACATCAAGATGGATAGTGTCACTCAGATCTTCTACATGCTTAACAGATTTCTTTTTTTGGTCTAGATGCTATAACAACATAGTTGCTTTAATTAGTAATTACATATTTTTTGAAAGTCTCTGTCTACTGTACACATTTCTATTCCATACTAGAAGCTTATTGAAGTTATATAAACTCATGTAAATTATAAATTTAATTTTATAAATTTACTCATGTAAATTATAAATTTACTCAGGCAATTATAAATCCTTATGAAAGTACTATGAATATATTGAAAATATAGAAAATTTTATTAACAGGTTTATTAAGTAATTCATAAAGTCATTATTTAACATTTTAACACCAAACATGCTTATTCTTCAAGGAAAATATTTTTGAGAGATCTGAAATGTTCATCTTTTAGTCCCAAGGTAAATAATACTTAAAATACAATTAATTACAGAAAAGTTTCAAGGATTCAGGGGAGAAGAGAGTAAGATAGGAGAAAGTGGGCTTAGTCTGAATTTAGGCATCTTTGTAAATGTTGTGACAATGAACTGAAGCATTTCCTCAAATTATCTAACTCACCATTGCAGCAGAAGGTGACTCCTTTTGTGGGAAGTAAGGGAAGTACTGAGAATGTTTAAAAATTGGAAGCTATGCAGAAAAACTCTGAAATATTTGTGAAGCATAGAGTAAGAATTAATTATCCAGATATAGTACAGTGGCAAGAGATGTCTGAAAAGTGTTGGGAGGTTTGTGAGCATCCCCAGGTTTAAGATGCTAGTTAAATTCAGCCATGGAAAAGCAGGCATGTGAAGTCATCCAGGATTGGAATCTTGATCACCAGATGTGATAAAAGGTCAGAAGTATATGAAAAGTGTTGGTCTTCATAAATATATGTTGAAATGACTTAATTTGATAAATTTGACATAAAAATAAAGATAGGTTGACACAGATATTAAGGGAGTGGAGTCAATTCAATAAGGTTTTCCAAGCATTTGGGGTGAGGAAGAAACTGAGTAATAATTTCAAATAGGTTTTAGTTAACTACCTTTACAAATTATTTTATTTTTGTTTCCTCACACATAAATTTAATTCCCTATTTCCCTTGTGAGAAGCAGTAGGCAAACCCTTCTTAGTGTTGGCTCTGGGAAACAAGATTTCTACCCTTTTCTCTTGAATAATTCACATTTACTGGTGCCCCCCACTGGTAGTTCACTCCCAGGTAAAGGTTTAGGAATTCATGACTTCAGGCCTGGAATTTACAGATAAGATTCAAGTCTCCTGGCTTTCTTCTATTTCCTCAGGTTCACTTGCTTAGAGAACATACCAACTGAGATAAAATACAGAGGGAAACAGCTAACAGCTGAGTTCTTAGGGATGCATCTCTGTGTGACTGGGGACTTGCTCTTTCTCCTGAAATAACTCTCTTTTCAGTGGTTAGAATGGTATCTCCACTTGGACTGAGTCTTTTAAGTGTATCCAGGAGGCATTCCAGGCTCTGACCACTAGTTCAGACATTCAGCATCTCTGGGAGGAATTTGGGGTGGGCAAATGCTAATGCATAAAATACCTCCTTTCCAGCATTTACACTGAGAGGCCTGAACCAACTAGAATCTACTGTAAGAAGATCTTACCTGTTAGATCATTCAGTCACTCAAGTGTCTCAGGAGGTTATGAAACTATTTCACACTTGAGAATTCTGAGGTTTCTACTGAGGAATTTTGCTAACAGTCACAGCTAAGTGGCAGAACATGAATATTGCTTGCCTCGTGCTTAGACTGTGAATTTAATTAAACTTTGTGGGGAATACAGCTTATTTAAGAACACCCAGGAACAAATTTTAGAGTCACCAGTCAAGAAGTTAAAATTATTCTGTTGTGGAATTTACAGATATTTCAAACTATTCCTCATGTGATGTTCCTTCTGCATGAAAGCTATCATGGATTCAGAGTGTGCACATCTCTGTGATGTATCTGAAAGGCATATGAGCAGTCACCCCAGTGATATATTGGACTTGACCTCAAACAGAATTTAGTTTTGACCCACACAGCTCTCTTTCCCCAGAGCTGTTGCCCTCAACCATCACCTCTGCACAATGTGAGCAATTGTGCCACTCGAGCCAGAATGTCCACCATGTTTACAGGAATCAGTGACCTTCAAGGATGAGGCTGTGAATTCACCCAACAAGGGAGGCTCTGCAAGATGCATCCCAGAGGAAACTTCAGGGATGTGATGCTGCTCAGAAGTATCTGGCAGTTTCTATGTGTACATGCGTTACTCAGTTGCTTCAGTCATGTCCAACTCTTTGAGATCCTATGGACTGTAGCCCACCAGGCTTCTCTGTCCATGAGATTCTCCAGGCAAGAATACTGGAGTGGGTTGCCATGCCCTCCTCCAGGTGACATGACTCAGGGACTGAATCAGTGACTCCTGGAGTTCTTGCCTTGCAGACAGACTGTTTACCACTGAGCCACCAGAGAAGCCCTGGAAGTTTCTATAATTGATGNAGCCATGTCCTCTGCCTGCCTGTTGTCTGTGGAAAACTTTAGCAAAGAATAAGTTTCATCAGAGAAGTGAGAAATGCGCAAACAAAGGAAAACAGTCAAAGGAGATCAAATAATAATAATGTAGTCATGAAGCATAGTCAAGGACCTTTAGTTTCTTCTCAAGGACTACAGATAATATTCTGAGACATATCCTGTGAGCTGTCTTACAGATACTGAAACCCCAGTTGGAAAAATTAACTACAAGATGACCAGACTGTACCCAGGACATGAGCTGCCACAATTCCAAGAACTGTTCTCAAAGAAATGGGAACAGACAGACTCTGGAACTGAAGATTAACTGTACCTAAAACAATCAAGATGATGCTAGTCAGACTACCAATGAGCAATCTGAAGATGACTATCAGAGCTCACTATGCTGTTTCTGTATGTAGCCAACCCCCCTCCCTACTCTGTGTATAAAAGTTCCTACCCCCTGCTTGTCAGCGGGGGGAATCAGCCTTTGGATAGATGTCTGCCCTCCCCCCAGTTGCCAGCATCTGAAATAAAGCAAACTTTCCTTTCCACCAACTGGGCCTGTTTATTGACTTTTGGGCAGCGAGCAGCCAGACCCAACCTTTCAATAATAAGTATGTGTGTCTCCTTGGATGATTCATTTCTCAATGTTAGACAAGTGCCCACTCCTGGGCGCTGGAAGGGGTTCCCCTTCCTGCAACCTTTTCATCATGTTATCCTAGTTCTTAAATTCCTCAGCCACCTCTGAGTGATAGAATTTATGGAAATACTCAGACACAGACTTACAAACATGGTTACCAAAGGGGAAGGGAGAGGAGAGACAAATTAGAAGTTTGGGATTAACATGTACACACTACGGTAAAGAATCTGCCTGCACTTTTCCGCTGTCTTCGCTTCTCGCCCCTTGACGTTCCAGCCGCGCGCCCCGCGTCTCGTCGCTATGCCCCGCAAAATTGAGGAAATCAAGGACTTCTTGCTCACGGCCCGACGCAAGGACACCAAGTCTGCCAAGATCAAGAAAAACAAGGATAATGGGAAGTTTAAAGTTCGATGCAGCAGATACCTTTACACCTTGGTCATCACAGACAAAGAGAAGGCAGAGAAGCTGAAGCAGTCCCTGCCCCCAGGTTTGGCTGTGAAGTAACTGAAATGAACCACGTACGCTGCTTTGAACTGTATTAAAATTTTTTAAATTCTCAAAAAAAAATAAAAGAATCTGCCTGCAGTACAGGAGACCTGGGTTTGATCCCTGGGTTGGAAAGATCCCCTGGAGAAGGGAATGGCTACCCACTCTAGTATTCTTGCCGGGAGAATTCCATGGACAGAGGATCGTGGTGGGCTATAGTCCATGGGGTGGCAAAGAGTCGAACAGAACTGAGCGACTAACACTTTCACTATATACAAAATGGATAACCAACAAGGACCTACTGTACAGTACAGGGAATTATACTCAATATGTTGCAATAGCCTGTAAGGGAAAACAATCTGAAATATATATATATATATAAAAAACTGAATCACTTTACACCTGAAACTAACACAACATTGTAAATCAACTGTACTTTTTTTTTTCATTTATTTTTACTAGTTGGAGGCTAATTACTTTACAACATTGCAGTGGTTTTTGTCATACATTGAAATGAATTAGCCATAACTGTACTTTAATTTAAAAAAGAAATATTCTACTGAATAGTAGAAAAATATGTTAAAGTACTTTTTCCTGAAGTAGAAAATGGCAAAATGAGTTTCAGATACTGAATAGGCAGAACTCAAGATACACTCCAACTCATGTACACAAAATGGATGCTGTGGGAATGTGTGCAGAGATTCCTTTTCAAATTATAGTACATAATTCACTCATCAAATGCTTATTGAGCACCTATTGTGTAGAAAGGTATTCTGAAATTTGGAATAACTAGCACTTTAGTTTGTTGTTAGATATTTTTGTCTTAATTAGTAGTACTTTCCCATTTTTAAATTTATTCCATAAATATATATTCAGCAGAGTTTCCAGGTGCTTGGAAATAAGTATGTGAACAAAACAGGTCTCTGTGTCATGGAGTGAATGTTCTAGAGCAGGATGGGGAAGAAAGATAAACAATGAACATAAGTAAACTATAGAAAAACAGAGCAAAGTGGAATGAGGGTGCTGGGAGGGGAGAGTGTGGGAGGAGGCTGCAATGTAAGCAAGATGGTCAAGGTTAGCCTTAATGTTAAGTGAGATGTGAACAGAGCTGACGGTCCTGAGGGGCTAGTCAGGACCCCGGGAGACGAGCGGGCCCAGAACACTGAGAAGGTGCAGCCGACGCCCCCCAGGCAAAGGTGAGGGTGTAGTGATCCTGGAGGGAGAGCAGGGGGAGAGCTTGACTGGAAGAGATGAACAGTAGGAGGTGAGGGCTGGAGAGGCAATGGAAGCCAGATCTTGTGGCTTCATATAAGCTACTACAAAGTCCTGGGGTTCTATAGAGTGTGCCATAGAGAGTGAAGTAAGTGAAAGAGAAATATAAACATTGTATAAAGTGAAAGTGAAGGCCTTCAGTCATGTCCGACTCTTTGCAACCCCATGGACTGTAGCCCACCAGGATCCTCTGTCCACGGGATTTTCCAGGCAAGAGTACTGGAGTGGGTTGCCNATGATGATGCTGAAACTGAAGCTCCAATACTTTGGCCACCTGATGTGAAGAACTGACTCACTGGAAAAGACCCTGATGCTGGGAAAGATTGAAGGCAGGAGGCAAAGGGGACGACAGAGGATGAGATGGTTGGATTGTATCATCCACTCAACGGACATGAGTTTGAGCAAACTCCGGGAGATAGCAAAGAACACGGAAGCTGGGCATGCTGCAGTCCATGGGGCTGCAAAGAGTCAGACACAACTGAGCGACTAAACGGAAGAGAATGTAGAATCTAGAAAAGTGTTATAGATGATCTTATTTGCAAAGCAGAAATAGAGACAGAGACATAGAGAACAAATATATGCATACCAAAGGGAAAAGGGGGCAGGATGAGCGGGACTGGGAGACTGGGATTGACATATATATGCTATTGATACTATGAATAAGATAGGTAACCAATGAGAACATACTGTATAGCAAGGGAACTCTACTTAATGCACTGAGGTGACCCTAATGAGAAGGAAGTCCAAAAGGGAGGGATATATGCATACGCATGGCTGATCGATTTTGCTATTCAGTATGTAAAGTAACAAACCGAGAAAAAAAAGGTCCCGTGGTTTTAACACTGACACGAGGAGCCACTGTAGGGTGCAAAACAGTGGTGACAAGACCTGACTACCTTTTTTTTTTAAGATCCCTCTGGTGTTGTGTTGAGAACAGATTATAGGAGGGCTCAGGGAGAAGCAGGATGATAACTTACTGCAGACCCCTTTGAAAGATAATGGAAACTGAGACCAGAGTGGTAGTAGAGGGAGTGGCAGAAAGTGGTTACAGTTGGTTACATTCTGAAGATAATGCAGAAATTATTTCCTGGAGGCTCACATACGAAGGGGAAGAAAAGCCAACCATTTTTACAGGATTTTTAGCCTGAATGAGTAAGACAAGATTTTGCCATCAACAGATGCAAAATGTTGAGAATGGGGCAGGCTTGGAAGGGGGTGTTATCAGGGGTTTGTCTTTGATGATGTTAAATCCAGACGTTGAGATGTCCATGTAGAGGTGGAGATGCTCAGGACATAGCTAGATATGAGAGTGTGGATCTCAAGGGAGAGAGATCTGGGTAGAGATATACATCTAAGTGCCATTCTAAAGGCATGACATGGGGCAAGATCACTAAGGAAATGAGTATAGAAACAGGAGAGAAGAGGATCAAGGATTGAGCCCTGGGAGAGGAGGCAGATCCCATGAAGGACACTGAGAAGGAACAGTCACTGAGTTAGGAGGAAACCTGGGAGTGTGAAGTCCTGGAAACCAAGGAAGGAATGATCAGCAGTGTCATATGCCTATGTCATAGGCCAAACAAGATGAGAACTCAAAAATGACCACACAGAAGTCACTAGTAACCTGGATGGGAATAGTTCAGTGTGGTGATTGAAAAATAATAGGCATTTAGTTTGAGGGAGAATGGATACATGTATATGTATGGCTGAATCCCTTCCCTGCTCACCTGAAACTATCAGAACGTTGTTTGTTAACTGGCTATGAAGTGAAGTGAAGTCGCTCAGTCGTGTCCGACTCTTTGCGACCCCGTGAACTGTAGCCTACCAGGCTCCTCCATAACTGGCTATACCCCAGTACAAAATAAAAAGTAAAAAAAAAAATATTAATAGTCATTTTATTTTTAGATTCTGTTTTCATATGATTCATTAACAAAATACTTTTCTTTTTCTTTCTCTAACTCCCTTCCTCCTCACATTCAAGCAGATTGCCCCTGAGAAATCACACTGTCTTTAAGGGCTTTATAGTCCTGATTACCTTGTTTTGGATTCTGGCATTTTTTGCTTTCTAGCAAATTTCAAATTTCTAGCAAATTTTGCTTCAGCAAATTTCTTAATATCTGAATTACCACCCTTATAAAATGGGGATAATGTATAACTTGTAGGTTGATACACTGTTGTAGGTTCTAAATGAGATACACAATACAGAGTACATATACCTAGTAAAGCACCACCAGGGTGGTGGTGCTGGTAGACAAATTCAGAGACGAAGATGCATCTTCTTGCATTTGAAAATCATTTTAATCATCCATATTTAAGTTGGGATCCATATTTAAGTTTCATGCCCCCCTGCTGGATTTCATTTTTGGAGGGGTGGGGAATCTTTTTCCTGCGTGGACAGTTAAAATTTTAACCTTTTATGTAAACAGGTCTTTATGGGTCTAAAAATTACTGAGTGAGGAAAGGCTTACTTTCTAGCTGACAGTTTTCAGAATTGATCACAAACATTGAGTTGTTAACAGAGAGCCAGAGCTCTGCCGTTTTTGGCACTATAACTTTGGAGAGGTCCTCCTCCTCCTCCTTGGACCCCAGACTTTGTGTATGCAGTATGAGGGGCATGGATAGGGTCAGCTCTAAGGCCTCTTCCAGCCCTAATATTCTGAAATACTCTCACTTGAGACTTCTGCTGTACATGTGAGTTGTACAAAAATGAGCAAAGTTGAAAACATGCTTCAGTCAGGGTCTTCTTAGAATCACCAGTACATTAGATACATTCTTATATATGGGACTTTTGTTGGAGTCTTACAATGCTTTAGGAAAAGAAGTACTGAATACCTACTCCAGCTCAGGGAAGCTTGGGCTTTATGTCACCATATATAGGATCCACATATAGTAAAGAGAAGTGAATTCAGGTAAAACCAAACCTTGGGTTTTTCAGTCTGTTTTCTCTGCTAGGCTACCAGTAATATTGAAGAACTTATTTCTGTCCAGTTACAAATTACATGTTACAAATAATGTATAGGGATATTTTGTGCTCATATAGCAATTTAGAACAAAATATTTTCTATTCCAATTGTGCCTTTGGCACTCAATTTTCTTTATAGTTCAACNCATCCTAAAGGAAATCAGTCCTGAATATTCATTGGAAGGACTGATGATGAAGCTGAAACTGAAACTCCAATACTTTGGCCACCTGATGTGAAGAACTAACTCATTTGAAATGATGCTGATGCTGGGAAAGACTGAAGGCGAGAGAAGGGGACGACAGAGGATGAGATGGGAGTTAGTGATGGACAGAGAGGCCTGGCAAGCTTCAGTCCATGGGGTCACAAAGAGTCGGACATGACTGAGCGACTGAACTGAACTGAATAGTGCCTTGGAAAAGTTTTCAAAAATAGGTTTTTAACAAGGATATTTATTTGGAACTGTGGGAAATAAGGTCTTGAGACTTGAAATAATTTACTCTGAACCACAAGAGGTGGAACCCAGAACAAATGCCTAAAATGGCAGTTGCCTCTTTTACTTCTTGGCCCTGTATTAGTCTGCTACTAGCTCTAGTTCACAAGGAAAGGACGTCCTAGAAGTCATTTGTTGAATTTTTCTTAAGGCAAGGCTAATATAATACCAAAAAGAGAATTTGTCCTACTTTCAAGACCTCCAAAGGACAGCTAAGACTCCTCGCAGTTATGTTCAACCACCTTCTTTATGATAAGCATTTTTAAAATCTTGGGACTTCCCTGACCCTCCAATGGTTAGACTCTGTGCTCCCAATGCAGGGGGCATGAGAGCCCTCTGCATAAAATAATAATAAAATG